CCCACTTTTACCCCCCCCCCCCCCCCCCCTGAGGCAAAACAAACAGGCCAGGGAAAATCATTCTGTGACTGCCAATTAGTTATTTTGAAGATCGGCTCCATTACTAAGCAATCTGTGTTAAGGAAGTCATGAAGACTATGAATGTCAGCACCATTCTTCTAGTCTCTCAACTGATGATGTATATTGCACATAGCTTTCTAGACATTTGCTGCATAATCTATTAATAAAATATTGCTTACATTTTACATGTATGCAGTTTGCACTCCTTCAATTGTAAACAGACTTTCGAAGTTATTTTTACAATTACAGAGAATGCTAGAACCTAAGTCATTTCCGCGGAGTCGGTTTATGAAGTGAAGTTTCTGTAATTGTAAAATTACTGTCAAGTCTGGTGGTGTGGATCTATCTGTATCTTGTATGTGCAGTTACCACTTGCTCCAAGGTTTTTGTTTAACATTTACAGCCTTCATTGGTTTTGTGAAAGAGCTTTGTTTACCTAGAACTGGTGATCATAGAGACTAATGCTTTCCTTTAATATTTGACAGGCTAGAAGAATGTTTGAGGGAGAAATGGCAAGTTTGGAAGCCATCTTGAAAACACAGACGATAAAAGTGCCTAAACCCATTAAAGTTATAGACCTGCCTGGGGGCAATACTCTGTTTGTGATGGAACATTTGGAAATGAGAGGCTTAAACAGGTAAACCACAGTACTATCCTTGCTTCCTTTAGCCAGAAATTTTGACTATTATGACAATTAAATCACTTGTTTTCGGAGAGAAATTTTTTTTTTTTTTTTAAGCAAGTCAAGATACGTTTGGGAAGTTACGCAACTGAGAACTGTGTAAAATACTTAATAATTCTTCACCTAGCAAATAGATCATACATCAAGAAGTGAGTGTGGTTTTTCTTTAGTTTTGGTTTTGTTTGGGGTTTTGTAAGTAATTAGTGATTTTTACAGTAAGGTTCCTTTTTACAGTCAGGAGAATTACCTACCTGATCACCTGTTTTGTTTTACCTGTACTTGCCTTTGGTATAAGAACCAATGTTTAATATTGCTAGTCAAGAAATTATGCAGAGGCATTTCCCAAATGAATGCATCCTAATTTCAGTATTTTTACAACCCTCACCTTGATTCTGATAGTTTCAAACTTTTGGCCCTCCTCTGTGGCAAACGCTTAAGTAAATTCAAATATGATGAATACTTCTGTCTGGTTCCATTAGGGAGGTGGGCATGACCAATTTCTCATCCCAGTCTCAGAAATTCTGCAGCCAACTTCAGGTCTTATCCCTCATCCTGCTCGTCTGCAGAATTTCTAAATCATGAAGAGCCCCCAGTGAGCTCCAAGAGAAAGAGGAGAAATCCTGTGTTTGGGCCGATTGATATGAAAAGTGTGCAAATGCAACATTTGGCATACAAATTTCACGGGATAGCTACAATCTGTGTTAACAGGGACAAAATGAAGAAATAACTTTGCCTTAAATGACAGTGCCTTGAGAACAGGGAAAGATGTGAGAGGTCAAAGACAGGAAGAGGAATATACTTTTGTTAACATGGGAGGCAGCTAGCTGTAAGAGTTGTTTGTAATTACTGCAAGAGTTTTCTGAACTGTGTAGAGGATAAGCTTTTATTAAAAATAGATAAATAAATAAACCCCACCTGACTCTTCCATCTTCTAGGCCTTTTAGAGAGGAGAAGCCAAAGACAGAGAGGCAGAGATATAAGGAAGAGGATGAGTCTTGTTTGGCTCTATTTCCCAAAGACAATTTGCCAAAAAAAAAAAAAAAAAAAAAAAGCATAACATGTTGTTATGCTTTTCTTACAGATTCCATACTGAAAATTCATGTAGAAGTGATATCACACAGAAATTAGAGTTGATGGTTTCTCATTGTTATTAAATTTATGATTGCTGCTCACTTTCACTTTTAATAGTGTTGTCAGAAACAACCATGTAAGTACATCTTGTTCTACGTTAATACATAATCTTTATAGAAAGAAGAGGTGTTTATAACAGGAATATTTTGAAAATGTACTTTGTTAGAGATGCAGAACTTCTTTTACTTGCTTGATAAATCTTTTCAATTAATTCCTGGAATACCAAGAACTGGATTCATTCATGTGTCGGTGTTGCTAAGAATGCTTTTGTTTCTTAGACATTCAGCAAAGCTTGGAACACAACTGGCTGATCTCCACCTTCATAACCAGCAACTTGGAGAGAAGCTGAAGAAAGAAGAGAGCACAGTTGGTACCGTACACAGCTGTTTGCATATTTAACCTAGTTAATAATAATCTACAAAATGGTTAAAATAGCTTTTGTTATTTCAGGATAAGTTTGTCTTCTTCTACTAAAGATACTATGAAAATAGATTTGGACAAAACCCCCAGACAGGGGGCCTTCTTTTTGCTTTTGTTTGCTCTGTTTGGATCTCTGTAAGCAAAACATTTATTTGGGACCCTTGGGATCCCACACCACAGTTTCTGCAAGGACGTGGTATCAGAGGAGATATGCTCCCTCAAAATATGATTATGAAGGTTATAATATAGCTGCTTTATATCAAGCTTTAAACTTAAAACCCAACAGTAACGACCATTGTAACAAAAAGAGTATTAAGGTGCAATTTTTTTTATTCTCAGTAGAAGCAGCATTGTACCCTTGTGTAGTTTTTAAGGTCCCTTTGCAATGTAGATGCTTAGAATCTTGTCATTAGTATTGGATTTTTGTCTTTGGTTTGAAAGGTAAAGGTCAAGGGCAAATGGAAGTCCAGTTTGTGGATCAATTTGGCTTTCATACAGTTACCTGCTGTGGCTATCTTCCACAGGTAGGTTGTACTTCATCAGACTGATAGAATTTTAAGTTTATCTTATTTTCCCTTCAGTGACACAAAGGGCCAAAATTATCATAATGGAAATTAATTTATTTCTGTGGAGCCTGCTAAGGAAAGTAGTGCTTTGGGCAGCACTTCCAGCTGCATTGGACATTCATAGCTCTTTGAATTCTTGGATTTTATCACTTAGAGAAAATTTATTCCCCTAATTTTAAGATAATTTAAGATTAATTTTAAGATAATACTCTATTAAGTGGTAGCATTTGCTGTCCTGGATGGTATCAGCACAAAGGCTATATAATCCTCCAAAGTTTTATTTGAAAAAGAAGAAAATTTGTCTTTTGCATGGTGCAGAACTGACATCTGCAATGCTGTTCCTTCAGGTGAATGACTGGCAGAATGACTGGGTGACTTTCTTTGCCAAGCAAAGAATCCAGCCTCAGATGGACATGATCGAAAAGAATTCAGGAGACAGGGAAGCAAGAGAACTTTGGGCACAACTTCAGGTAGGAGAAGTTCTCTTGGTTCTCATTGTAGTGATAGCTAGGTATCAGTTGTTTAGATTTTCTTTTCATAAAACAAAGTTCCTGTTTGTTGGTATGCTCCAGGTTCTCTTGGTAAGAGACTCCAGCTTTTAGGGATTAAAATGCCCTTTATTCTAAGGTATAATGGCTTTTGCCACATCACCCTATGCTAATATTCCGAAGTGAATGTGTGCCAAATAGCACTTTGCCTTACTGTTTGGGAAATACTAGATCAAGTTCACATTTCTCATTCCCTGTAACATGGTCATGATGAGAAATGTATATGAGCAGTACTGTTCTGCCCATTATCTATTCATTTAAGGTTTGTATCTGATTAAGTACTGCAGTATTAGCTATTTGGGTACTACTTTGTAGAAATCTCTTCAAGGTTGGTGAGAGATCCCTGAGCCTTCTAATGATGAAGTGGGTGGTTGTTATGTTATTAAAACTGGTCAATATTGCAGCACTGAATGCAGTCTTTCTTTTTTTATTTTCTTGCTAAAAGACATTTGGATGACTATTCTTCAGTTACTGGCTTTTATGAAAAATAGAAATCCTCTCGATTTTCTCAGCATCTTTATTCACTAGGTCCTATGCTGTTTCAAGTTGTGTTTTTGTTTTTTTAACTAGCTTTTAAGAAGTTTCAATTCATGCTCTGCATGTATGCAGATAAAACTCTACAATCATTCACCTTAAAATGTGGTAGTTACATGTCGTGCTTTTTTCCCCCTGCAGCTGAAGATACCCAGTTTGTTCTGTGATGTAGAAATTGTTCCTGCTCTCCTGCATGGAGATCTCTGGGGAGGAAATGTAGCTGAGGATGATTCTGGTCCAATTATCTTCGATCCTGCTTCTTTCTACGGCCATTCAGAGTATGAGCTTGCAATAGCTGGGATGTTTGGTGGCTTCAGCAGTTCTTTTTACTCTGCTTATCACAGTAAAATCCCCAAAGCTGCAGGGTTTGAGAAACGCCTAAAGCTTTATCAGCTTTTTCACTACATGAACCATTGGAACCATTTTGGTACAGGGTACAGAGGGTCTTCTCTAAACATTATGAGAAACCTTATAAAGTGACTTGCTGCTTAAGCAGAATACTTCCTATGTTGCTTGGAAAACCCCATACCTGGCGGTGCAACTACAGCAGTAGTAATGTTAAAAAAAGCTACAAGACCCTTGACCTTGTTGCACAGTTAAAGACCTAGAATCAGTGAGTCCTGCTGAATACCAAGTGTAACATAGTCACCCCTTTTTAGGATAGTTGGGAGTAACTTTTATGAGGGAAGTATCTAAGGAAGGAATTTATTCAGTTGCACAAAAGATCTGTCAGTGTCAAGAAAGCATTGTATGCTTGAGACTAGGCAAGGTAGTACAAATCAAGCACTCACGTGTAAATGATTTGGTAGAAGTTCTTTCTTAGGGACCAATTGTGCTTCAGAGTAGAGAAATACCAGGGTTTGCATTTGCACCCTAATGGAAGACATTAGAGAAGTGTTTGTGAAATGGAAAATTGCTTTTCTCAGTTACTGAGGAGATGGCTAAAAAAGTTGCTTATTGCTTTTTGCTGTTCCCCCCCCCCTTTACGATAGATTGCTCAGACTCTTTCAGCTCTTCATGTCCAGTTATGTGCATGAGAACAATGTTAACAAAATATTTTGAAAGTCAACACGAAAATTATATAATGGAAACTGTGAAAAATTATTTGGACTTGTTATTCATTATGCTAATGTGATTCTACTGGATGAAGACTGCTTCCTGTTCTGTTACAGAGCTGTGTGAAAATGCTTATAATTTTTTCTGGCACGTGCATTTTGGTGCCTCATGGCATTCTTGTAGGGTGTTCTGTGCTTGCCAGTCAGTGGGCTCTTACCTACAGCAATTTTGTTTTCACCAGAACTAGCGTGCTCTTCTCTTTCGGATTGTGCTTTTGTCCAACAGTGTGCATTCTTTTCAGGTAAGACACTTTACGTGTACACATCCTGTGAAGATGTACTCTCACTAATCCAAACAGAGGATGTACTTTTTGACTGTCATCATTGCCCATAGGATAATGCCATCTGGTCATGGTACAGGCTTCACATAAATTTTCTGTAGTTTAGACTACAGGTGCCATAAGCTAACATTTTTCTTCAGTCCCCACTAAGTGCACTTTGTAGCTCTTGGGATAAGAGGCATGAAACCAAAGGAAGTTAAAATGTAACTCACAAAACAGCAGCTCTGCATGACTGTCAGAAGTTCTTTAAGGATAGCTTTGCAGAGTAGCTATTTCTTGTACCTGCAAGATGGTAATACTAAAATTGTACTCTTTTTGATGTAGGCTGGTAATGATATTTCAGTGCAAGCGTACCAGGTAGGTGAGAGAGATGCATGATTCCTAACATGCATTTTGAGTGTTTGGGAATGACTTCAATTAATTAAAAATGTTTTTTCACTGGGTATTGGCAGATTACTGAGGGGTTTTTGGTTGCTGTTTTTGCAGTTATTTATACAAATTGGAAGCAAGTTTAGAGAAGACTTATCACTTGATATAGCTTTCTCCTTAATTCTACTACTCTTCTCACTGGCTGTTTAACTTTTGCTACAAAAAGTTTTAAAGCCTTGCTTGGTAGAATAGCTTTTACTTTTACCTTGTTTCTTAAATAAAAAGTTTCCCAGTTGATTATTGTTGTCTCTGTTCTCTGAATTAAAACTTTACAGCTTGCATTCATTCTGGGGAGCTACTTGCTCTAACCTGTTAAAGGTCCCTAGTTCGTTAGACAATTATGGTCATCAAAGGTGTTGATGGGAACATGGTCACGGATTTTAATCTGGAGCAGTGTGTCACTGAATAAAATTTACATGTTGTTCAGTTACAGTATCATTTGATGTCCTATCTGTGCCTTCAAACTTTATGTGTTGTACCAGCTGTTTGGATGTTGTTGATGGAATGTTATGTCTGTGCCCATATCCTTACACCATTCACCCAAACTTAACGCTGCTTAGTGCAGCTGATTGAAGAAATGCTGTGGAATTTTAGCAAGCAGTCAATCTGGTTAGATCCCTTAACTGTTTATTTCCATATGCGATCATAATAAAGTTAGATGTTATTTAACAAGGTCATTCTGTTGCAAATCTTCAACAAATCAGCATGTTTATTTTGCTAAAATACCTAAATACTTTTTTATCATTAGAAAGTGAAAAAGTGAGATAAAGGTGGATTTTCTGTCAGTCAGTCATAGACTTGAGTGATCAACGGTAAGTCTTTAAAGATCACCTTTTCCTAATAGAACTGAATCAAAATATTTTTGTGATTGAATGAAAATTTTGTTGTTATGCAAGTTAGGTAAATAGAAACAATTGTATTTAGAGCTTTAATTTAAGGGATATTATGCTCACTTTTTCAAAGCTATTTTGTGCTGCGATTAAAATGGAAGGGGTGTAGGGAGGAATACAAATGGAATGTAATGGTGAGCTCTACTGTACCATGGATCCCTTGGTTTTGAGTTCTTGTAGACAGCAGTTGAACCAGGGAATGGAGAAGGGGATGAACTCTTCTCTTCTGAAGGCAGGCTGCTGGTGGACCCTTAAGGAGAAATTGCTGCAGTTCTATAAGGTAATTTTTGTTTTTCCCTTACATGTTGTATAGTTCTGCACTGCTCTTAGAATTCTCCTCTTTGATCAATTTGTTGCATTGTGTGTTCTAGGCATGCCTTTGGTATTCTTTATCTCTTTCTCTTACAGTTTAAAGCTAATGTGTTCTGCTTTTCCTTCTCATATATTCCTCCCTCTTGGCTCCGTCCATACATTCTAAATCTGGTGAGCGTGTTTCCTTGTACCCATGCTCTCATTCTGTATTTCCTGGTTTTGTATTATAATTTTGCTGACTTTCCACTCCTGTTTGGACAAGGAAAAAGGATTAAAGAACCACTGAATTTTTCTTAAATATACAGTGTTCATGTATTTGAATATTGTAAAAAATTGTAATATCCTATCATGATGTTTCTAAGGCTTTTCTCAAGATGGATCACAATATACGTGTGGCATATGTAGACTAAAGCATCTCAAGGCATTTATTTTTAATATTTTTAAAACCAGATCTCTCTATATCTTTTTTCTTAAACTAAATTTTGAAATTAATTCCTTAGAGAATTAATTAGTGGGTTGGGATATGATTATGCGTAATTTTAATAACATAAGCTTCTGCCTTGGAGAGGAGCTAGGGGAAGGGAGACTTGGAAATCTGGACTCAATGGTTAGGATCATAGGAAAATTCAGGTTGGGACAGACCTCAGGAGGTCACTTAGTTCAATCTTCCTGCTTAAAGCAGGATGAGCTGTGAGGACAGGCCAGGTTACTTAGGTCTTTGTCTGGTCTTGAAACTGTCCAAGGATGGAGGCTGCACAGCCTCTATGGGCTTGACTGTCCTGATTGTGAAAATACATCCAGTTTGAACCTCTCTGCAAGAATCTGTATTTTTGCTGAATTGCTTATAGTTTTTATGTACCCTGCATTTCAGTATGATTTTTTTGTTGTTGTTTTCATTCTCATGGACTGCTGCCATCTGCAAAAACTGCCTGCAGATATGAATGTTGCACTCTAGCACTGTTTTCCTGCTTTTCATCTTCACTGCTATTCCAAAATACATCTGGTGATTTTAACTGATGCTGCGCTGTTCTAGCAGAAGTGAAAGCAGGTGGGAAGTGGTATATAATTAGCTTGTACAGTAGGCACTGATTGTGACAAAAGATTTAATGGGAAAGTGTATTTCTGGTAACTAAGCCACACCAGAATCACAATAGCTTTATTATTTTTCTTTGTAAAATAATATTAAATTACTTTTCAACACATTTTAAAATGAAATCTGAAAAGAATTCACTAAAATCTCCCAAGACATGGTTGATATTATATACAGAGCTACAGCCTGTGCAGTTATGCTGAAGATCAGATCTATAGGATTAAAGGAGCTCTGAATTATTTGTCCTTGGATAGTTCTTTACTGAGAAACTATAACTTCTGTCAAAGGCAAGGAGGTTTTTATGATGAAAAGTCTTTTCTTGCTCTTGGCTTACACTATTCTATACAGCTTCTTTGTTTTACTGTGATTCTTTAGATACTGTTACTCACAAAGGAGAAGTGAACAATCTTTTTCTTCATTGGTATGCATGGGGATATCTGTCTTCTGGACAGTCTTTGAAAACAAATAGCAGCATTTGTGAGCAAAACAAGAAGAAAAGAGCTGGGAAATGAAACAGTTACAAACTCCACTACAAGCATAACCCTGAGGATAGGACTCAAACCAGGAGCCAAACAACACTCACATAAATAGTTCTTTGTAATTCCTCACCATCTTCTCATATCTCTCTGATGCAATTAATATTTTCCTTTGTGACCTGGCCATGGTGCTGAATTGTTTGTGGTAGGAGGATTCATTGACGTGGGTTTTTCAAGCACTCTATTCCTTTGAGCCCATCTGGGATGCATTTGAGTTGTTTTACTTCCAGAGTTTGAAATGATATTGTTCGAAGTTGCTTGACTGGAAACAATGTGAACAAAAATGTTAGGAAACCAGGCCTTTCACCTGTGCATTACTAATTAAATATCAATCCAATGTGGAAGCAAACAGAAGGCTTTCCTATCTTGGCTACTATGTCAGTGATGCAATATATTTGGATTAACACAGTCCTGTTTCTGGTTTAACCAAAAATAAAATGTCAGAATGCTGAAAGAAGTGTTACAGTCAGTAACTATTGGTATCTTCACTGGTAATTGTAGGACAGAAGTCCATGGCCTACTAGACTGTAAAAATTTTGGGTTCAGTAGTAATATTGTTTGGTTTGGTTTTGGGGGGCTTTGGGGTTTTTTTTCCCTTAACAGGTTAATAGAAAAATGAATTAGGGTATCTTTCACTATGCAGAAATAAGGGTACCTGCTCATTTTAATTTATTTTGTTGCCAGAAAACTTTAATCCTCTCCCCAGGTGCTCCATTGCAACTGAGCGTATGATTCCCTCCTTTCAGCAGTTGGAGACCATTGTTCTAATAGTAGGGTACTTTTCAGGGCTTCATACATCCTGAAGTTCAAATTGCTTGGCATTTTCACTATATAAATCGGTCAGATGAGTCATATTAACTAACTGCCTCAAACTGTCCAAGATCTACAGGTATAATCAAGTTGTTTTGAGTGCATGTGCACTGGTTTACTGTGATTTAATGTACATGCTGAGCACTTACGCTTCAAGCTTTATTTGGTCCAGGCACAGTTGTTTGCTTTAGTAGCTGTGGCTCATTTTCTAGGCAGAAATGCTCCATGGGAGTATATGGACAAAATACTTAAGACTCCTACAGTAAGTGCAGACTCTTCTCTACCTCTCCCCAGCATTATTTTCTGTAGCTCTATTTTGTGAATAATCTATTTTACAGTTAGTATATCAGTGATGTGATGGTGTCCTGGTTTCAGCTGGGATAGAGTTAATTTTCTTCCTAGTTGCTGGTACAGTGTGTTTTGGATTTAGTGCGAGAATAATGTTGATAACACACTGATGTTTTAGTTGTTGTTAAGTAGCACTTATCCTAACTTAAGGATTTTTCAGCTTCCCATGCTCTGCAAGCAAGCAGGTGCACAAGAAGCTGGGAAGAAGCATGGCCAGGACAGCTCACCCGAACTAGCCAAAGGGATATTCTACAGCATAGAACATCATGCTCGGTATATAAACTGGGAGGAGTTGGCTGAGGGGGTGGATCGCTGCTTGGGCATTGGTCAGTGGGTGGTGAGCCAACTGCATTGTGCATCACTTGTCTTTTCTTGGGTCTAATTTCTCTCTTTTTGTTATATTCCTTTTCATTACAATTATTATTGTTATTATATTTGTATTATTATTTTATTGTAATTTTAGTTATTAAGCTGTTCTTATCTCAACCCACGTGTTTTACTTTTTTTCCCAATTCTCCTCCCCATCCCACTGGGAGCAGGGAGGAGTGAGTGGCGCTTAGTTGCTGGCTGGGGTTAACCCACGACAGATGGTTATAAAATATTACAGCTGGACTTTGTAGAAGGATTGCCAAAGCAGTCAGTGGTTACTTTAGACATACAATGCAAATGTCCAACCATGATACGTAACCTTGAATGGGGCTTCTTGCTATTCTTGAATACTCTTCTGTATTTGAATTACTGTTTCCGATTCCAGGTCATGAGCTACACTTTTCCAGCTTGTGCTCTTACTCTGTAAGCAATGTCCTGCTTAGATAATTCTGGATGTTAGAAAAGTTCCTCCTTAGCCAGTTTGTCCCTTTGAGGTCTGCTATGTTCCAGCTCCTCTGTGTACCATAAGGAGCTATGTTCTGAGAAATACTTGTTTGAGAAATAACTTGTACTATACCAGTATTTTTCACTCCATGTAGGACTGGAACCATTTGTGAATGTAGTGAAAAGCCTACCTAAATGAAGCTAGTATTTGTCCAGTAATCATTCCTTTCTCTGTCAAAACCAAATAGCTTATATGAATCAATGGAAACAAATAGTAGTGAAAAGAGAGAGAAATGCATGAAAGCACAGTGCAACAGTGGCAACAAAATCCAGAAATTCCCTGGGGAGATGGTAGGCATTGCTGCTCCAAGTGAGAACAAGAACTGCAGCCTTTTCCACAGATTGTAATGTGCTAGCAGTTGGTCGTAGCCACCTAACCAAATATGTTATCTTTATACAGACTTTATTAAAACAGATATTGTAGGATCTGGGTTATGATAACATGTTTTAAAGGTTTAACATTTTATACCTGAGGGCGTCAGTGCACTTTGCAAGTATGAAGTGATTAAATTCAGCAGTACCCAAGGGATCTTCTTCCTGTGTGTCAGATTGTGAAAGGAGATAAAAAGGTGAAATAACATCCTAAAGATCATGTTAAATCTGGAGAAGCATATAGGAACAGTATCCTAAATTTCTTTATTACCAACTTGATGCTTTTACTATAAATGTTCACTTTATAATGTACAGCCCTGAGCACCCTACTATCTCACTGACTGGAGGACACTTTCAGGCAATAAAAATCTTTTGTCTCTCTCTTACAAGAGATCCAATTATGTCCCAAGAAGGGAAAGCGTTCTAAAGGTCTCAGTGATGACAACAGAATTCCAGTCCACACAAAGCAACTACAAACAGAGAAAAAAACCCACCAACCTTTCCACATATTTCTGGTGGCTGACTTATGGTCAGCAGCATGATTTAATTTCATCCTTATGGACTGCAACATTGTTTTTCGTATCGTAAATAACGACAATACAACTCATGTGCGCAATTTGTATTGTTGCACTTAGACTCCCTCTAGTGGATTGGTTTAAAAATGACCGCTTCTACAATGCGGTCGCAGAGCTTAGAAAAGAAAAACGGGTCCAAACTACAAATACCAGCAGCTCTCAGCACAGTTGAGAGAGGACCCAGGACACACCTCTCAATTTTATTCTAGCAAATATTTCTGAAGATTTTTTTTTTTCATGTATAGCTACAAAAGCCTATGGAAAACAAAGCATTTTGAAACATCTCTGGGTTTTCCTTTTTTTTTTTTTTTTTTTTTTTTTTTTTTTTTTTTATTTGGTGGGTGGCCCTTTACCTCATAGCACAGTGACAGTGAAAGAAGGACCCAAACCTTTAATCTTGTTTTGCAGTGGATTTAGCTGAAAGCAGCTGCAGCAGCCTGGAAATTACCATGGAAAAAATCCTGAAAACAGAATTGAAAACTTCCGTTCTGAAGGCGTTTGGAAGCTCGGGAGGAGGATACATTAGCCAAAGCCAAGGTTATGAAACAGACAGTGGACGAGTATTTGTTAAAATCAACCACAAACCTCAGGTTAATGCTAGCAGATATTTATCTACTAATATTATTGCATGTAGAGAGCTTTTTATTTTAAAAGCACCCAATTGTTAATAGTTTAGAGTTCTGCATTTTCAGGCTGACTTCTAACGGAGTTTTTCTTTCAGTTTTCTTTTAAAAGCTGTAGTCTATTTTATATCAAGTATTAACGTAGGAGGTTTGGTTCATGCAAAATGAGGTGTAATGCAGTGTGATAACCCTCAACAGGAATTGACATTACAATATGTAAAAAGGGGGTTAAGTACAGAGCTGTTATTGTAGTACTCAGAGTTTGGAAAAGCCTAAAGCTGAATTTGCATTCACTGCATTCCTTTTCATGTTTCAGTTGGGAGGATAGAATAGTGGGAGGGAGGGAAAGAGGGAGGAAACAGGGTGCCAGTGCTAAAACTCATGTATTATTTTTAAAGCTACAGAGGTTTCAAACTTCCCCATGGCTTTTTGTATTTCTGGGAGTAAGATTCTTGCAATTTTTCAGGCCAAGCTCTTGACTTTTCTATTACTAAATGAATACTCAATTGCTTTTTGTAACACCACAGTGCATCAGAAATTTGCTTTATCAATATCAAACGCATCCTAAAACTGCTGTGAAGAACAGCATCTTTACTTCAAAAATGCAGAATACAGGCTTCATATTTACTGTCGTCTCCATCTGATTGACCTGCATGGAAAGGAAAACCAGTTTAAGGATTCAATCTTTTACTTCATTTAGTAGTGGTCTTATGTGGTTTTGAAGGAGGAGGTCTTGGGTATTATCCTCATTGTTACAGCTGTGTAGTTTGGTATCTCCTTAAGCAGCTGGAAATCATGATGAAATGTGATGTATCCTACTACCCTGGAATGAATTTGGGAAAAAAAGAAGTTGGAATTAAGGTACTCGAGTCTCCCTGTGTGGACTGAAACCTTGCTGCAGCTACATTCTTTTATCAAGATGAATTAACTCCTTGTAACTTTGTAAACAAGGCTGTTTTTTTCCAAAGTACTTGTTGCAGACATCCATAGTTTAGCCTAAGGATATTCTCATTTCTTGACAGGCTAGAAAAATGTTTGAAGGGGAAATGGCAAGTTTGGAAGCTATTCAGAAAACCAATATTGTGAGAGTGCCTCAGCCCATTAAAATAATTGACCTACCTGGAGGAGGAGCAATGTTTGTCATGGAGTACCTAAAGATGAAGCACCTCAACAAGTATGTCTGTACATCTCTTCTTCTTTTTTCTATGTTTTGAGGCATATTTTCTTATCTTACAGTCAGTCAGAAAACTTTGAGAAGAACCTCTCTATTCTCTCAGAGATAGAGCTTTGTCTGTCAAGATCCATATTTGTTTGTATGTGTACATATTAAAAAAATACATATATGTATCTATATATGTGTGTGTATACACTCCTTCTGCATATTTTGCTCTTCTCTGACCCTCTACCTGCAATAGAAATGGCATGCTATTGCTAGCCTAGAGCTTTGTATGCTGGTCCACATGTGCTGAGATGCTACTAAAGTGAATGTGATAATGGCTGAGTTTAGCCCATCTTTCCCTCATGAGATTTTTCATTTGAGTTTCCTTTCCCAGCCTGTCAGTTTTCTTTAAACTTGTAGGCTTCTTATGTCTTTGAAACCTCTGCTTCTCTAAATATAATCTTCAAGTATGATTGAAGTCAATCAACAAGGTCAAAGGCACTAAGGTGAGGAAGAACTAAATGGTTAACTAGATGGATAACATTAAGTTCCGTTTCATCCATCAACCAACCTGAATATGGAATTCAGGAGTCATAGGCTCCTGAACATAGGCTTTCAGGAGTTAACTGTTTCATTTCGGGCCTCTATGGGAACACAGTAATGCCTGTGGCTCTTCTGGCAGTTTGTCGAACCTATCTATTTTTATTGGGAGAATAATGACAATTCCACAGCGTCCCCAAACAGTCTATTCCAGTCCATCCAACCGTTCCTAGGAAAGATTTTTCTAATGTCTAACCTCAGTCCTCTTGGCTGCAATTTTAAACCCATTATTTCCTACCCATTCTGGACATGGAGAAGAAATTAGTTTCCATCCTTGCAGTTCCTGTTCAGATATCTGCAATATTTTAACTGCTTTTTAGTTGTCTGTCTTCTGCATTAAGCAATCTCAACTCAATCCTTGCCTATGGCTTCTTTTTAGACTTACTATTCTTATTGCTGTTCAGCTGATCTCGAAGTATGAGGCCCAAAAGTAGATACCATGTTCTATTCTCTGCTTACTAATGTGGAGCTGATAAGGAGGATTGCTTGATCCTTCTGCACTCTATGCTCCTGTTTATACAACCTTGTGTTCTGTTTACCTTTCTTGCAAGAGCATTGACTTACGTTCTTTTTATTGTCTGTTACAACCCATTTCTTCAGAGCTGTTGTCTAGTCATTTGCTCCCTGTTACATACTTGAGAAGTTGATTAAGGTTCTATATTTGCCAAAAATATACTTGGTCATATTTAATTGAGATTCTTTTTTCCCTGTAATATTTCATTCACTTCTCTTGTTTCAGTTTCGTTTTGTTTTTTGATCCTACAGATATTCTTCAAAGCTTGGAGACCAGATAGCAGATCTTCATCTTTATAACCAGAAACTTGGAGAGAAATTGAGAAAGGAAGGAAACACAGTTGGTAGAGTATTGATATCATGTACTAAACCAAAAATGAAGTAATTAATTTGGCTGTGGCACAATATTGCATTATAATTTTAATGATTAGTAAATTCAATACTGGGACACTGTTTCATGAGATATGTCCCTCCTGTCCCTATGCCACACTTGTAAAATGTATGTGATATACACAGGAGCTGTAATTGCTATTATAATTTCTAAACATATCATTTTAACCTTGACAAAACTAAATTAATTTATTTTTAATTTTTCATTTTGTATATACTTTGTTGTATAATATTATGCAGATACTGAATTTTAGTAAGAAATAGTGCTAATATTTGATAGTTAGAGCTTTCGACATTTCATAAGTCAAACTGAAAATTTGGACTAGTTGTCTTTTTCAGTGTCAGTTTGTGGTGGGTTGACCCTGGCTGGATGCCAGATGCCCACCAAAGCCGCTCTATCACTTCCCCTTCTCAGCTGGACAGGGGGGAGAAAATATAACAAAAGGCTCGTGGGTCAAGATAAGGACAGTTTAATAAACCTTTCAGCCTCATCTACCATCATTCTCCTAAAATGTTCTTGACCATACAGACAACCTCTTTTTTTGTTTACTGTTGGTTTAGACAATTAGCTTATTACAGAATATGGTCCCAGATAGTAAACACATAATTAAGTTCCCCTTTAAAGATGTTGCGGACTACTTTTTTGAACTCAAATATGTAGCAAAATATACAACACTTGCTGCTCCTTGGAGATAACTAATTCAGCAGTGTAAGGTCATGATCCAGTTTCTGTTGACTTCAATGAAAACACCTTCCATCATTGTTTGGAAAGTGGATTCAGGCATAAATGGGGAGAAAAAAAAAAAAGGAAGCTATACAACAAATTATTCTTCTAGAGTTGTTGGTATTAAAATGTGAACCACCAGTCTGTTTCTGTGTTTTTCCCATGACTTCAGGGATGGACCGGGTTCGAGACTTAGTGCTGGACATATTATAATCCATTATTTTTGAGTGAAGACCAAATTACTAGCAGGCCACAAATAATCTATGAATCAAAAATAAGCAAAGTTTAATGACAACATGTTCAAGTGTCAGAACAGTAGATTGTGAATCTGGTATCTGGACTCTGTTCCTGAATGTCTAACTCATTTATCCAAAGAAAAGTCACTAACCATGACTAATTGTGCCTCCATTTCCATTCAGTATTTTCAAGTTTAAGAGACTTCCTTCCATCTTTAGAGAGGGTTGTGACCATGAAATAAGTGCTTAAAATTATTTTGTATGCTTGTTCTCTGAAATCTAGTTCTGTGTTTGCAAACTTTACTGTGTAAGGATCTCAAAACTCCCAATATTTTTTTTGTTTCTTAGGTAAAGGAGCAGGTCACTCTGAGTCTCAGTATGTGGATAAGTTTGGATTCCATACAGCCACTTGCTGTGGTTATATACCACAGGTATGTTCCATGTCTGTGAAAGCTAACGTGCACTCATATGATTCTATAAATTCCTTATACAAAAGCTTGTTTCATTATGATCACAGTTCTGCTTTCACTGTTTCATTCTGACCTGACAGTGAAGGGAATATGATCACTATTCAACGTGTGTGGCTTGCTACAATGCATGTAGACACAGTGAATCGAATAAGAATTTGAAATTGTGGTGGTTCTTTAGCTTGGTGATACTTAATAAAATAAGTATCCCTTCAGATACCATGTCTTGGTTTTGTTTTTCTAAACCCCTACTATATGGATCTTAAATGGCAAAATCCACTGCTTTTAGAGAGCCTCATCATGTAACACATCACATAAGACATTGGAAAGGGCTCTCAGAGAAAAATCAGTCATTTGCTGGCTCTGCACATGGTAGAATTTCATTCTGCTATTTAACCGAATGAACTTTCAATGTCTCAAACTCTTTGCTACAAGTACAACTTTTAATCGAATTAGAAACACATTACCCAATAAAAATGAACGAATGCTTTTGCATTTCCAAAGATTTTTGGAATATAATATGGAACAACTGAAATGATCTCACAGAAGCTCTTCCTCTAAAATACATTAAGAAAATTTGAATGAATGGAAACAGCCAGAACCTCGACTTAGATCTCATGTTAAAGACAGCCCCACCTAAGCATGGAAGACAGCATCACTCCCAAAAGAACAATCAATGAAATCTCTAATAACACTGTGCGTAGGTCATACTAACGTTGTCTAGGCCATTGTGTCAGCATTGAACATTTTAACTTGATATCTATGTATTATTAATGCTGACCGTGTATATGGTAAAATTGTTTATTACGAACCTCTCTATCATATTTTCTAGGTGAATGAATGGCAGAGTGATTGGCCTTCGTTCTTCATTCGTCACCGACTCCAAGCTCAGTTGGATTTGATTGAAAAAGATTATGGAGACAGAGAAGCCAGAGAACTTTGGTCACAGCTAAAAGTATGAACCATGTCTTAAATGTGATTTTTAGAATATTAGAAAATATGTATCACTGGAATTTGAAAAGTGTTTTAGAAGAGATTTACATAGCTTTTAATGAACAGTAGTAACTGGACTAGCTTCACAGCTGGTCCAGCAACATTGTCAGCTGAAAAGAATTCATGTTGCTCTTTCAGTTTTTTAATAGAAAAATAGAAAATAAACCTGTAGTTCAGCACTGAAATGTATTTCTTAGAATCCAGCTAATAACAATAAGATGGTAAATCCTATCTAAGAACTTGATGTTACAAAGTAGGTAAGATTCTGCTGCCCAGGCAGATTTTTTTAAATTTTTTTTTTATTTGGCCTAGGCTTACAGCTGAGACTGTGGTTCAGGTCACACTCCAGGCAGTACTTAGGAAACAGCCAGGAATTTATTCTTCTGCAAGCTCTACATCACAAATTTGTTCCTTAATTCTGGTTAATTGGTACAGATGTTTACTGCTGCCGTTTTTGCTAATGAAACCTTTTCATTTAAATGAAATTTATATTTCTTGTGACAGCCAACACTATCCATGTCTAGAAACAATACATTAATACTAGATGTTAATAAGAGACTGTGAATGAAATGATTTGGTAAGCTTTGTCAAGAACAATCAAGAACATTTATTACTGGCTTACAGTTCAGGTTTATGCTTGTAGCCATCAACTTCAAAAGCACTCCATGAGGACTGAAAACAGGCAGTATTTGACCAGCTTAGTCATAAACTACAGTGATTTATTTATTTTAATATTTTCCTCAACGCTCTTTAATTGTTATGTGTTTGTTCATGCTTTTTCAGCTAAAGATTCCTGAAATGTTCTGTGATGTAGAAATTGTTCCTGCTCTCCTGCATGGGGACCTGTGGGCAGGAAATGTGGCTGAGGACGACTCTGGGCCAATTATCTTTGACCCTGCTTCCTTCTATGGCCATTCAGAATTTGAACTGGCCATTGCTGGAATGTTTGGTGGGTTTAGCAGCTCTTTTTTCTCTGCCTATCACAGTAAAATACCCAAAGCTCCAGGATTTGAGAAACGAAACAAATTGTATCAGCTCTTTAATTACATAAACCACTGGAACCATTTTGGGACGGGGTACAGGGGATCTACCCTAAATGTAATGAGAAAGCTTCTGAAGTAACCAGGTAGGTTTGAGAAATTCTGACATAGTCCCTTAGTAATGAACAGCCCCTGGCTATCAGAAGTAATTAGGAACTAAAACTAGGAATTAATGTTGATGGTAAAACACCTGGCATGTAAAAGGCTTAGTACACTTTTGAGCCTCACTAAATGTTAACAGTGATTGTGTAATTTTTAACTTATATACTAGTTTACTAGCACAGATTCATACCCTGCTGAAGGAAGGGACTGCATTGTTTGGGAAGACTCCACTAGGTTGGAAAAATAGCATGACAGTAGCCTAACCTTACTCTCCGTAGAGAGTCTCACTTCATAGCTGCTGTGTTTCCAAAGTTGTTTGCATCCTGCCACTTCTGCTGCTGCCCTATGAGCAGTTCATTACTGAGACCTACTGTTGTGGGATTGTGGTGCTGGAAGTAGTAACTAGTTCCTTACGTCTCCCTTTTTTGTTATGTTTTAGTTTTCTGTCTCTGTTTCCATCCCCTTTCCCATTTATATTTCTGTTGTCTTTCCTTTCCCATATTAAGTGTCCTAATCCAAAATTTAAATCAGATTCTATGAATCTGAAAATGAAAACATTCTCTTTTTGATTTAAAGAGTAGACAAGGCCCTTTGGACTGCACTTGGCAAGCATATATAATTAATAACATTTCTAATATTTATTTTAATTTAATGTAATTTACTTACATGCTTTTGTTTTTTTCTTGCTATGAGAAATTAAATTACAGTGGTATTTCGGAAAAAAGGATGTCTGTAGTTCCTTGGTAATTAAGTGTATGGTCAGAAAGTGGGTTGTTACCAAGCAAGTTTGATAATAACATATCATAGTTTTAGTATGATACTTGTCACAGATGGAGTGATGCACTTCACTCATAAGCGAGAATTAGCAGTATGTTTATTGATATAAAACAGTGATTTATTGATAATAGCATATCTTAGTTTTAGTATGATATTTTAGTGTGTTATGCTATGATAGTAACATTTAATTACCTTTTTACAAAGAGAGCAAAAAGTGGGAGGGAGGCTTAGTGTCTTGATGACAAGAAAGCATCTGTTGCTGCTGTGTTGGTTGGTGCTTGATGCATTTTCAATTTTAGAAAATAATGTACAGTAGGCAAAGCTAATATGTTCTGCCACTGCTGGATTATTGAAGGAACAGTGTCAAATTAGATGGCTTTATCATGTTTTTTAATATTCCTAACTGCTTTATTTTTACAGAAAACATAGGCAATGAGAATTTGGGGAGAAAACTGCAACAATGATACTGGCATATAATGTGAGCTAGAGTACATTAGCAGATCCATGTTTTTTTTAATGGAAGAAAGTGGTAAAGAAAGTAAATATAAGTGCAGTCCAATGAATGCTTATGTGAATCAGAGGATTTGAATAAGAATTACTGAACTTAGGTATTTAGGCTTCAGACAGCTGTCATGACTAATACATAAAATACTATATTCAAAAATGCTCAAATATGTTTAGACTTTTTTTTCAACTTTAAATTGCTGTGCTATAAACATTTCATAAAGTTTAGAGTTAGATGTTGTCATTGATACGATTTAAAAAATGCACTTCATTCTCTGTAAATAAAATACAAATAGTTAAAATTTTTTACTTCCTTTGAATTTGGGCTACAATTAGGGGAAGTTGTCACGGTGTGGTTATAACACTTAATACAATTATTACAGCGGAGAAGTGGAATAATACAGTTAGAATACAGTTGAAATCGTAGCTGATAGCTAGAAGATCCAGGTCTGAGAAAACGGCAAAGTGCATGCATACTAGTATTTATTAATGTTAACAAAAATACATGTATTACATTGGAAAGTACATGTGAACTTCTCAAATAAAACATTTGCCTTGCAGAAACTAGGTGTTTGCTGTACCTGCATTTTGTGATTGTGGTTTGCTTTAACGATTTTGAGCCTGAAGATGAGGGTGTGGATGGAGTTTCTGGATCCTGGGAAAGAGAAGTTACCTGTCCTAATGTTCTAACCAGACTGAAGTGTCTCCCTGAATTTCCTTTATAATCAATGGAGTGGAATGACCACCTCTGGTGACTCCTCTCACCACGAGCACCCATTTTAGTGTGTCAGCTGGTCTGATCTTTCAGGTTTATTTTCTATTAAGTAAAAAGGTAACCTGAGGTGACTTAGTCAATGTCTACTTGAGACCCCGACTTTAGTTTCCCAGCGTTGGCAATGTGTCAAGAGAGAAGTGGAAAACTAGCGCTGTTATCTGGTAAAATATAAAGTGTGTGGGAAAAGCAGCATGGATGGAGATGTGGTACGTCTTGGGCTGAAATACGACAGAGTATCTTCCTGAGAAAGCTAACGGGAAGGAATCTGGCATGAGCAACAGTAACCGCTGTGAGGGGGCAGCCATTTGTTTGAGCCTGACCACTTGCTTACTTTCCCTTTTTTTCTGTAGCTGTAGCTTTCAGTATTCAAACCTTGTTGCCATAATTTTACGAGATTTAGGTAACGAATTTAACCATATAATTCAATGTTTTGGCGTGGGTAGGGTAGGCAATGGAGGAGGTAATGGAGAACGGCGTAACGCAGTTGCCTTCCGCGCACACCTGTGGCAACCCGTGCAGAACGACGTGAGGGGCAGATTCAGGACGGTTCCTCCCGGCATGAGGGAGTTTCTGTGCGCGGCGGCCTAGCAGAGACGCGGGCAGAGCCTGCGCCGCGGCCGAGAGGAAGAGGGGCGTTTCCCAGCTGACTGAAGAAACGCCAGCCACGGGCTCTCCGGTCCGGCAGACCAGAGGATCCCAAATAAACGCCGGGAACCGCCTGC